ACCTGCCCCAGCTTTCATGTCCCATGGCTGCCCATTAGCCACCGTAGGCAGTCGTCGTAAACCAGTCAGCGGCCACTTCTCCGCAGCCCAGCGCACATCCAGAGTCACAGCTGCTCCCAACCAGGGACAGTTTGGTCTTGCCAGGACCAAAAGATGCCCCCACCAGGTATGTCCTTCTCAGACCCTGATGCCCCCGTGGAGTTGAGGGCAGAGCTCCAGGAGGGGAGCCCAAGCACCCATTCCTAGTCCTGGTTCCACCTCCCCCGCTCTGTGACCTTGGCTCAACGATCTGACCTCTCTGTGCTTCACCCTCCCCGTGACTCAGTCTCTCTCCACTGTCCCTGCCTCCCCCCACATTAGCCATATTGTTCCATTAAAATAAAGAACTCAGGGTTCCTTGAGCTCTTTGGAGAGACCACATAAATGCATGGCATTATTAGCATCATTACTATTAAATATTAATAAGGACATTAGCATTGTCTATTATAAGACTGAAAAAGGAGCTCCAAGAGCCCTGGGTCGAAATGGCTAGAAGAATAATTAGGGCCCTCCAGGCCACAGACCCCTTCTGGCCCTCAAGCAAAATGAGGAAGGCAAGTGTAGGCAGACTGGAGATTACCCTTCCAGCTCCCTCTGCTCAGTTCTGCTGCGCTCCTGGCCCCACACAAAGCATGTTCTTCCCGGTCCCCAACACCCGCCTGCCAGGAATGCACTCCTCACGACTTCTGCCTACCCAGGCCTCGTCCCAGAGCCACACAAGCCCACCTTCCCGAGCCCTTCACCCCCCTGGTGTGGGTCGCAAATGGAGACACTCAGGTGATTCCGCACAATCAGGGAACAATGGTTGGTATTTTGCATGGCGCTTGGTGACACAAAAAGCACTTTGGGGACACATGGGTGGCTCAGCCGGTTAAGCGACCAACTCTTGATTTCGGCCCGGGGCAGGCTCCAAGTTCAGCCCGGAATAGGCTGAAGGATTTCTCTGCCCCTCCCCCAATAATAAGTAAATAAATAAATCTTTTTAAAAAATCCTTGTGGGGGCGCCTGGGTGGCTCAGTGGGTTAAAGCCTCTGCCTTCGGCTCAGGCCATGATCCAGGGGGCCTGGGATCGAGCCCCGCGTCGGGCTCTCTGCTCAGCGGGGCGTGTGCGTCTCCCTCTCTCTCTGCTCCTCCCCTCTGCTTGTGCTCTCTCTCTCTCTCTCTCTCTCTCTCTCAAAATAAAAAACATATTTAAAAATAAATAAATAAATGAGTCACTGTGTTTAATCCGCATGTCTTCACAACCACCCTAGGTCGGGATAAGATTGTTCCCATTTTACTGATAAAGAAGTGGATTCTCAGAGCTGTCATCACCCTTCAGTGATCTGCCCAAGGTCACCCGGCTAAGGGTGACCGCTGAGACAGAGCCCAGCTGTCACGAGGACAAACCCAGAGCCACCCCAACCACTGCGGTACAGAAGGACTCAGCCTGCTCGGTGCACTCCCTCGTGACACAGATGGGGAGACTGAGGCCCTGAGAGGCCCGCAAGGAAGCGCTGGCATTGTCCCAGCCTCTGTGCTTGGCCCAATGCTAGATGCTTCCTGCCTGATTCAATGCTCACGTCAACGCAGGGAGATCTGAGCCTTGATCCCCATTTTCCAGGTGAGAAACCCAGGGCTCTGAGGTGGGAAGTGACTTGCCTGTGACCACAGAGCTCACACATCGCCGGACTGTCTGTCAAGCCAGTCTGGTTGCAGAGCTTTGTCCGGACTGCCTTGTCCCCCTCCCCCAAAGCATGATATGGTCAAGTACGCTACCACTATCTGACTGCTTCCTGGAAAGTTCCAGACCCATTGAGGACAGACCACAGCCTGTGGCTCTTGAACCCCGACTCCTGTAGGCAGAGACGCTGCTCCATAAACACACGATCTCCTAAGAGCTCTAGGAAAGGGTCTGAAGTCTGGAACCAGAGGGAAAGATTCCGGGGGCTGCTGAGGCCAAGCTGACCTAAGTGGGGTTTGGACCGATGAAGAAAGAGATCTGAGCGCCATCAGAGCCCTGGGGCCCTGGCAGGGTCCCCGCTCCCTCCCTGCTTGTCCTCTGGGGCTGGGCCTCCTGAACCCTGCCTTCCTTGACCATTTGAAGAAGCTGGACTCCACTATTGATCTTCTGGAGGTCTAAAAGGAAAGAGCAGATGGTCTAGGAAGAGTTGGGTGGCCCTTGAGATGCCTTCTGGGGGCACCCCCTCCAGGAGCCACCACATGTTCACAGGCAAATTAGCGACTCATTCAATGAGCCACCCGATCGTCCTTGGCGGGCCCTGCGTTGCCCCATCTGGGGGTCTGTGGGGACTCAACTCGGGGATACGGTGTCCCACTCTGGGCTACACGGAGACGTACTGATTAGCCACAGAGGGGACAGGTGCCCCCCAAGTCAGCTGTAGTGAGGATTCTGGGATCTGGCCGATGCTAAAAAAGAGGAAATTGTCCTGTCCCCAACTCTGATAAGGGGAAGGGGAGGGGAGTCACTGGTGGCTGGAGCACATGGTGTAGTGATGGGACCACGGATGCTGGAAGTGGACTGGCAGCCTCCGCTTCTCCATTTATTCTGTTTACTTTGATCAAGTTCCTCAACCTCTCTGAGCATCGTGTGCGAAATGAGAATGATGATAATAACACATACCCATTGTGGGGGGTCAGAAAAAACACTCAGCACAGCTCCTGGCACATTGGAGACACTGGAATTATTGTTCATAATGTATATAATAATTAGTAATAATATTATGAAGTACTTTAGTTATTACCAGATTGAACCCACAGGCAAAATGCAGCCTGGACCCCCAAACGTCTACCCCACTCTTTCCTCAGCAGCAGGAGCCCCTTAGAAGCCGGCAGTGAGGAGCCCCGGGAGCCCCCCCAAATCCATCAATACCAGGTGCAGCTGATGAAACAGGCAAGAAGATGAAACTCTGGGAAATTGTCTCCCCACTCTCCTCTCGGCTTAGTAAGTACTCTTGCTTGTAAGTACTTAGTAAGTGCTCTCACTGTGGCTGTCAGAGCCCCCCTGGGGCGGGGCAGCCGGATGGCAGAGGAATCAGAGAACTAGACACCCAAGTCACCCAGGCTGATCTGATCAGGAGGGAACCGTGTCCTTTCCAAACACCCAGCCCCCACGGCAAGGGCAGCAGCTGTCCTAAAATAGAGTCACAAAGACAGCTGTCTCCATCTAAAGCAATCCTTGCAAGCATTTCCAGCCCCTCGGTCCCTGAGTCAGCCCGTGCCCTGGCTCATCTCCTGGTCCGTCCCCTGGCCCGTCAGCCCGCGGCCACAGATGCACCATGTCCTCTCTTGACAGCCAGTTTCTGCCTGGAGAGAACTTGAAGCGCTCCCTTCTGAGCCCGAGTTGACCGGCATGTCATCAGAGGGCAAGGCTGACATGCCAGCCCTAGGGAGACAGACAGACAGACAGTCAAGGACCATGCGGACAGGGGCAGAAAAGGGAAGGACGTCCTGGAAGGGATGCCCAGCAGCTTCCCAAGTTCCCCGAGAAGCATCATCAGCACCATCAGATGTCTCTCCGTCAGGAACAAAGAAGACCCTGAGCTGGGAGATCCCCTCCGAGTGGAGCAGAAGGGCGGGAGGGGAGAGCAGATGGGACCTGGGCAAGCATTCTGGCCTCGGAGTCCAGGCAGCAGAGCCTTCCTGCCCTTCCCTGTCCTCTCCTTCTCCAGGATCTCTCACTCAGTCTGGGCATATCCCGAGGCCCGGCGTCCACCCACCCCCCTCCAGCCCCGACTCCGGAAGACCCAGAGCTGCACTCCAGGCTCGACAGGTCTGGCCATCGCAAACTCCGAGGCCGGCCTGGCACTGCCAGCTGTTTCAACATCTGGACCACTACCTAGTCTTGTCCATGTGAGCTGGACAGCAGGTGGAGCCGAGTGGGGAGCGAGACGACAGTGACAGCCTGACAGGGCGACTGCTGCTGCTGCAGATGGCTGTCCCCCCACGTCCAGAGCCCAGCCATCCCGGGCACACCCCCCCACCCTGCCCCAGGTGATAGGAACAGAGCAGAGGAGGTGAGCGGAAGGCCTGGATGAGCACCAGCATCTCAGAGCGGGCGGGAAACTTGGCCGTCTTTAACCCCTTCACATTACCAGTGAGGCTCAGAGAGGGCAGGAGGCTTAGCCGAGCACACACAGCCAGTCAGTAGCTGAGCCCAGACTCTCCTTCGGACCTTCCGACCCCAGTCTAGTGAGCTCTTCATGACCTCACACTGCTGGTTGATTAAAAATGGGCTTGGATCCATAAGCACTGATGTGGAAAGCTGTCCGAGATCTATTACACAGTTTAAAGATATTTTGCAAATCATGCTGGAGCATGCGATCCCATTTTCATGAAATAATACTAGTAACCCACATAATTATATACAGGAAAATAATAAATCTGGGGGCACAAAAGTCAGGTTTGTTAAGGGACTTTGTCTATTTTTAAATTTCCTCCAGCGTGTGGATATTTGGACAGAGCGCTGCTACTTCCGTAAGCTGGGGGGCAACAATAAAGATGAACGTGTGGGGCGGGCAAAGGAGGCCCCCCTCCACCCCACTTGCCCCGTACAGCAAGAGATTTCTGAACTGGATGCATCCCTGTAGTAGGGGGACGTCTGGGGGAGGCGAAGAGTTTGCCTCCGCGGGTGTCCAGGGTCTGAGGAGCTAGAGCCGCTTTCTTTGCCCTCCCCGCCGCACCCCTCTCGGGCCCCTTGGGCTCTGGGCTGGGCGGCGATGGGGGGCTGGGGCGGGCAGGCCAGCCAGCGCCCCACGGCCGAGCCGCCCATGCATTATGGAAGACGCGGGCGCCCCGGCTTGCTCCCTGGTCCTTAAATGACAGCAAATGAGGTAAAGCCAGAAGGGTGGGGACGGGAAGGGGGCGGGAGGGGGGCAGAAGGAAGCCATCTCCGGGGCCCCCGAGCGTCGGCTGAGGACCGGAGCCAGCCAGTGAGCGGAGCCTGGAAGAGGGAGGAGCACATCTTGATGCAGAGATGCTGCAGTGGCTCCGGGCGGGCGCGCACACACACAGGCGCCCTCGCCCGCCACCGCCGCCACCGCCACCGCGGCCGCCACCGCCGCACCGGGACCGCGGCGAGCGGCCGAGGCGAGCAGGGGCGGAGAGGAGGGCGGCCCCGGGGGCCGGCGGCCGGGCTGGCTCCAGCTCACCGCCTCGGGCAGCGTCCACCTGCCCCAGCCAACACCCTTCTTTCACCCCAGGTATGTGCCAACTGCTTTTGTCTCCTCCGGCCCCGGGGAGGGGGTGGGGGCTCCGGGCGCTGCTGCGGCCAGGCTCAGGGGCTCCGGCTCAGTTTCCCTGCAACTTGGGAGGGGGCAGGGGCAGAGCAGGAGCTCCCGCAGGCTGAGGCCAGGCTGACTTCTCACCCGGCCCCTGGGGTGTGGGGGGCGGGTAGACCGGAGGTCCCCTCCACCCTGTCTATGTGGGTGGCATCCTGCAGGGGCCTGGCAGGCGGAGCCTGGCCAGGAGGCCGGACCCCAGCGGTGTCTAGGAATTCCAGCCGGCACCAGCACCTGCCCAGACAGAGGGCAGTGGCTCCGGGGCCTGCCCAGCGCCGGGGTCCGGGGCGAGACCGTCCATGAGTCCAAGCCCCAGACTCTGGCCAGCTGCCCCCCAAGGAGTGCCTGGGTAGAATGGAACCTGACCATCCAGACTTGAGGTGGTCCTGAGTGTGCCTCTGCCGGGTGACCTCTTTGCGAAGTCTTGCTTCAGTTCGAGGGGGAGGCTGTGGAAGAGAGAGGGGGGAGAGTGGAACTCAAGTTTGGGCAAAGGCCTGTCCAGGAGTGGGGACTGAGGGGGGAGAAACTGAGGCAAGTCACATCTCCAAGGATGAGAAGTGGGGCCACCGGGGCTGAAATTCTTTTTCTTCCCTTCCCCCCTCCACAAACTTATCTTCTCCCCACATCCCTCCCCTCCTCCTCACAGGTGGGAGGAAAGGATTGTCATTAAGTTTGGCTTTTCCTGAAGGAAGGGGGCCCCGGGGAAAAAGGAGGAGGACTCAGTTTAGAGGGTCCAGAAAGAGGGAGAGTACCATGGGGCTTACATCACCGACCAGAGTGATGGGGGAAGCAGCCTCAGCCGGTGGCCAGAGCTGAATCCTGTTGCCTTCTCCAGGAGGGATTCCCAGGGATGGGAAGCAAGAAAGAGGGGGGTGAGATGACACAGTGCCTGTGGAAGGGGACAGTCCTGGTGGTACATGGGGACAAAGTTAGGACCCTTCAGCCACACAACACTGGGGGCTGAGCTTGTGCCCAGGGAGAAAAAGCTGTTAGTCAAGGTTGTCTGGAGGTTTGGGAATCCAGGCAGACCAGGAGGGGTGGCCTATGAGAAGGGCAGGTTCTCTGACCCCCAAAGTACCTGCCCTTAATGTTCCCCCTCTCCACAACCAGCCTGTGATCATCAGACCCTACCGCCCTTCCTTTCAGCCTGACTCCCCGAGACCCATGAGCCCCCTTCCCAGCCCTGGCAGCTTCCTTGGCCCTCTGTTCAGAGCGGGGCGGAGGAGGAGAGCCCGAATAACCCAGTCCCTCAGGGGGCTCCTAATCTCCTGGGCCGAAGCCTGGGGCTCATCTCCCGACCTTCTGGCCAGAGAGATGCTCTGTCCCCGTAGCTTCCCATTCACCCTCAGAGGGACCAGATGAGCCACTGGAGGTCAAACGGTGGGCCACCTGTGGGAGAGGCTGGTGGGACCCTGGCTCCTAGGGGGAGAGCAGGGAAATGGTGCCCTGACTCCTGGCCTCAGGAGGAAGGACTTCTGCCCCCAGGCAGCATCCAAGCCCCTCTCCAGGGTGCCTCACCAGTTAACCCCTTTCTAGCCAGGCTGCAAAACTACTCAGGCAAGGCTTCTGCCACCTGGTCAAAGTTATTCCTAATTTCCTATGGGATCTATCAGGAGTCCTCAGCCAGCAAGAGGGAGGCGGGAGACAGATGGGAAGGAAGCATCAAAGTCGCATATGGTTCACCTGTCCTTCTGGTGCTCCCCAGCGGGAAGGGAAGCAGAGACACCCAGACGGACAGGTTCCTGGAGATGGTCCCCTGCTCCTTCGACTCTCTTACCCCCCCAACTCCGTTCATCTTCCACTCCCCTCCTGGCCAAGCTCTTCCCTCATACTCACTTCCCTGGCCGAGTGCAACCCTCCAGCCTCAGCCCTCAGCCTACCTCCCCACCACTGCCCCTGCCAGATTTCTCTCCTTATGCAACTCTCTTCCAGCACCTTCCCTGCCGGCAGTTGTTCAAATAGAGACACATGTAGGCTGGGCCTCTCTTCCACGGGACGGTTGTGCAGATTGTCTCTGACTGACCGAATTTAGTCCTCAGGAGCGAGTACGCAGAAGGGGGTCTCCCCGTGGCACCCTCTCTGACCCTGAGGCCATGAAGGAAAGAATACACTTAGGATGCGTGGGAGGATGTGGGCCCCCCCACACCCCCCCACATGTCCTCAAGCCAAGTGTTTGTGAGAAAGCACATCTCAGAGATGATCTCTAAACTTGAGCGTGGGTGGTATTGGTGATCTAGGGGAGAGTCCCAGGGCAGAACCAGGGGCCCGAGCAAGACGTGGGCCATACACAGGGAAAGAAGGACCAAATCAGAGAAAATGCCAGCGCAGCAGGAAGGCTTGAAGTCAGACTGCTAGAGACACCTCCTAGCCAGGAAGATGAGCCATGAGGGGGCGGGGCAGTCCTCCCCAGGGCCTGTTTGGGGTCTGGTCAGCTCTGACTGCAGGCAGAGGTGGGATGGACAGCCTTCTAAATTCCTTCCAGCCTCAAGTTATGCTTTTTCAAAAGGTAACAGGGAGTGACTCATAAGAAGACAGACATCCTTCTCAGCCCCTCCCGCAGGCCAGCCACCTCTCATTCTTCTGAACCCCCCTAACCTAGACCAGCCTCCCCCACTCACCTCACAGGGGTTTTGGGAACCTGAACATTCATGGGAGTTTCCATGGGCTGTGTGCCCTGATGGTAAGCCCTTTCTTTGGTTTAATGAGCTCTCTTGGTATGAAGTGAGCCCATGTTTCTGTGTTTACCCAAAGATGATGCAGAGGTGTGATGCTCTCACCCCAAACTGAGTGCCCTCTGCCCCAGGACACATGCAGGCCCAAGCGCACCCCAGCACCCATCTCATCTAACAAGCACCCCCCACCCCACTCAACCCCACAAACATCCAGAAGAACCTGCTGGATCTCCTACCCCTAGCCCATATCCTCTCCATGTCTGCCGGCCTACTAGACCAAGAGGCCCCCCATTCTGCGTTTGGCTGGAGGGTGGCCTTCCTGTAGTGCGGCCCCAAGAGACCCAGTTAATCTGGGCCCCAGAGCAGAAACTAATCAGAGGGGAGGAGCGGGTCCAAAGACTCCCCCACCAGGCTTGGCTCTGAACCAGCCTGCAGGAAATTGTCCAGGAACTGGGGCGGGGGGGGGGGGGGTCCCCCCTCTGCAGAGATCTGGGCACATAGGGAAATTGGTCCACTGATTTCTTCCTGATGTGGTTTTTTAGAACGGAGTTGAAACAATAATCCTTACTCCTGGCCTCTCAAACAGGGATGGTCCTTCCAAACCCTTGCTCAATCTGTCCCACTCCATATTGGCAGGTGAGCTGGGGACGCCTTGCCCTTATCCCGAGCTCCTCCCAGGAGGATGTAAGTCTCTCCCTTCTCCCACTCCACACTCTGAGGAATCTCTCCAGGGGAGCGGGCCAGACCACGAGAGTCTGAGCCTCCAGGCTGCATAGGAAGGGCCAGACTCCCCTGATGCTGACAGCTCTGACAGATGTGTGAGCCTGGGTCACAGCTCTCCCCAGAGGGGCTAGGGGTTCCAAACCAGCTGCTAGTACAAAGAAACTGCAGAGAAAACTGGGGCATGAGAAGGGAGGGGGCATATAGAAGGGGCTGGGGAGAAACCCAGCTGTACATCTCACCTGTCCCCACCCAGTCCCTATCCCCCGCTGGGGACTGAGGAGGTCCCCATTCCCCCCCAAATCCATCCTAAGGACCTCCTCCAGCTCAGGGCACCTTCCTTTCTCACCGAGACCTTCCAGCACTGCCCTCCTCCCCCAGCAGCTCTGGCCCTGCCTGGCCATGGCCCCAGCAGGCCACTGCAGACCCCTGTCCTTCCAGATAGGTGTGGAGTGGTTCAGACCTTCCTGCAGGACCACGACCCTATCCCAGGTGGTACTTCCCTCTCTAGGCAGAGTGGCCCCCCCCTTCCTGGACCTGCAGGTGGGAGGTGGGGGTGGTCGAGGAGCAGGGTCTGCTGGGTGTGCCCGTGTGCCTGTCCCCACCAGGTGCCCTCCCGAACACACGCCATCTGGGTATGATTCTATGTGTTCGTGCCCTCGTCTTGAGTAGCCTGCTTGCTGCTACTTGCCCGGGCCTGCAGCACCTGTGGGGCAGAGGGGAGGAAGGCACCTGCCCAGGGAGACCGTGGTCGCCTGTCTGTGTCCCACACATTTGTGAGTGCCACCCGAATGTCATGACCGTGTGGGAGTGAGTCTGACCCCGGGGGGCGTCTGTCTGTGCCCCTCAGAGTGTTGGGGCCCATGCTGGAGGTCCCGTGAGGGTTTTCGGTGTAAGATCTGATCTTTTCTGAGCACTCACTATGGCCAGGCCGGCTGCTGACCTCCCCAGAGTCCCTTCTCATCCCCATTTTGCAGGTGGGAAACTGCGGCTTGGAGAGGGTAAGTAATGAATGGAAGAGCTAGGGTTATGCTGGTTAGTTGTGTAGTAGCACTACACTAGTTATTAAGGGCCAGGCCAGCTGGCACGAGAGCCCACCCTGCTGGCCACTGTGCTGTGGGATGGAGGATGGTGGGCAGCTGAAGGGCCAGGCCCCCACAGTACTTCCCGGCTTATAATAAGTCACTTAGTCTCTGCCCTCAACCGAGCTCCAAACTGCCCCTTATCTGACCAGCACCATTTGAACGTCACCAGACCCCTCCATACTCAAATCTCCATTATCCAGGGGAAGGAGAGACAGAGTTAGGGCCAGGAGCTGGAGGTCTAGCATCCAGGCAGAGTGTATCTGTCATTTTCTAGTTAGTTCTGCACAGGGGTCCTCAGCCCAGAAAACTCCATCCTGTGTTGGGAGTCTGGCTCGCAGCTTTCCACCCCACAGCTGTCCCCCAGGCCCTTTGTTTCCCACACCCAGCAATTCAGCCCCCTCCCCCTGGTGCCCCTGAACCCCCAAGCAGCCCATTCCCCCGTGTGCCACCGCCGCAAACAACCAGCCCCTAATGGTGCCAGCCTGTGCCCGCTTGTGCCAGCCTGCGCCAGCCTGCACCCCTGCACTGGGGCAGCTGGCCTGGGCCAGGCTTGGCTGGCTCCGGGCTCAGAGGGCCGGCTCTGGGCCTGGCATAGCTCCACTCCTGCCTTGCTCCCGACAAAAAGGCCTCCTCCCTTCTGGGCATTCTACAATGTGTCATAGGGCAGATGGCACAGGGATTGACTGTGCCACACTTAGTGGGTCAGGAATTCCGCTCTGCAAAGGCAGTGTTTTCATGACTCCCTCCCCAGTGCTTAGCACTATGCCTGGCACCTGCAATAAACACTGGAAGGGAAAGGGAAAACTTGATGCCAGTTGCCTCATCTTCAGGGAGGCAGTGAGCTCAAATCTTGACCCAGGCTCTGTGCATGTGTGTGCGTGTGTGCGTGTGTGTGTGTGTTCACACAAGTCCTTGGCACCAGTCGAGGCAATGTACATCTGATTGGCCTGACTGGTCCCTAGTGCTCCCCAAAGACAACTCCCGCAGGTCCTCAATCCCAGCCCCTCCCCAAGGAGGAGGGCTGTCCCTTCTGAGGCAGGTCTTAGTCCCCAGAGGCTGCCCAGGGCCCATCCACCCGAGGTGACTGATGAAAGTCCGCATTAAACTGAACTGTGAATGAGCAGTGGGATTGTGTTACTCATGACGGACGCCCATGGCAAGCACTAACAGGTAATTCTGACCGCCGTGGGTGAAAAGTGCTCCCGGTTAAGTGATCCTCCTGGTGGCTCACAAAGAAACAAGGCAGGAATTGGGTCGTCACGCCCTGTGCTGGGTGGGGACACACACACACGCACACACATACACATTCACACACACACACCAGACATACCCATGAGCAGACACAGACACATGCACACACAGAGACCAGCGCACACATATATACGGGGACACAGAGACACCGCACAGAGATGCAAATAAACATCACATACCTGCGTGTGTGCACGTGTGCACGCACACGTGCACACACGTGCACTCCCCACCACTGCTGGTGAGCAGCAGCGGACTCCTGCCCCCCAGTCTCCAGCCCCAGCTCCCTCTGTCATCTGTCTCTGCTTTGCTCGGCACATTCAGGACAGGAGGAGTGCCTGGAGCCCAGCTCCTCCCCAAGCACGCACCCCGCCCCCTCCCCTGAGCTCCCGGGACTAGCAGGCAGACAAAGGGCAGGAAGCAAACGATGATGGAGCACCTTCTCCGTGCCAGACTCCAGGACGTGCCGCACCAGGGCCAAGAGGCGTTTTCAAAGTTTTTGGAACCGTGGAACCCTTTGTTTAAAGGGAACTTCCAGTAGCTAAAGCAGACACAAGTAGACCTGCTTGGGCTGAAATGGGGAACGAATCTGGAGCCCCAACCTCTCTTCATTCCCCCATCTTAAACGTGACCTCAAAGCAAGTCCAAACGGCCCCAGACTCCTGGAGGGCGCTCCCTTACCTCATTTCCCATAACAGCCCTGGAGCGTAAGTGCTACAACGTCCACTTGGTAGGTGAGCAAAACCGAGCTTCCACCAGGAGGAATAAGACGGCCAAGCTCTCAAAGCTGTGAGGGCAGGAGGGCAGATCTCTGACTCCCGTCTGTGGATTCCAAAGCCTTGACTGGCTTGCAGTGCCCCAGGGGCTCCCTATCAGGAGGAGAGCTTCCAAGGCCATACTTCTAGATTCTTCCATGAGTAAACACCCTGCTGACCTTAGAGACCTGAGTGTGTGTATGTGTGTGTGTAAAGGTGGGTGTGTGAGTGTGTATGTGAAGGTGTATGGGGAAGAGTGGGAGTAAGTATCAAAGTGTGTAAAAGTGTCTGAGAGAATATATGATACAAAGAGGCAGAGTGTGCGTGTGTACATGCGAGAGTGTCCGAGAGAGTTTGAGTGTGTCATGAGTGTGTGAGTCTACGAGGAAGAGAAAGTGTGTGAGTGTGTGTGCCCTGGGGCGTTGGCCCTCGGGCAGCCCCTGGGGAGCACCAAAGCCCAACACCCCCGAATCAGCTATGCGGAGAATGGGAGTGTGTGACCGAGTATGTCGCTGGCTGCTCGAGGATCTGGCCACAGCTGCCCGCCATCAGTCAAAGGCGACCCACAGTCACACCCACTGTTCGCGGGGAACTTTGCTAGGCTATGGCGGGACCAAGATGAAGGAGCTCCCAGGCTTGGAATGGAGGCACCTCCACCGGTGGGCGCTAAGGGTCTAGTCACGAGCCCAGCTGAAGTCTAACTGTGTGCCTGTGGGGCCTCTGAGGGGCTTCCTGGCAAGGGCAGAATTTCTGGGCTCAATTCTGGAACTGAAAGTGGCAAGAACAGAAGGGGGGTGTCGGGTCATGGAGAGACGGCACCTGGGCCCCTTCCTTACAAAGGGAAGTGGATATGAGGCTGGGGTTGGGACAGAGAAGGGAGAGCCACATGTTTGAACATCGCTCCCCCACACCCACCGACACCACCACCAACACCCCCCCCACTGACACCAGCCCCCAGCCTCCCTGACACCCCGGGGCCAGTTCTCCCCCTCCCTCCTCCAGCTTCTCAGGAGACAGAGAAAGGTTGCCAGGGGCCAGATGTTGAGGTTTAAAGGGGTTTGGGAGCCCTTTCTTTCCGAAGGACTAGAGCATGAAGTAAGGCTGGGAGATCCTGGGCTTGTGTTGCGTCTTCAGACCCCGCGCTGACCCTGGGGGCAGAGTCTGGGGTCATCTGCAGCCTCCCCTGTCCCCCTGCCGCCACCCCCACAACCACTCCCCAGCAACCACCCCCCCACCCCATCCGGGAACAGCATCCCCAGTCCCTCCGCTACGCTACACTCTCTGGGGGCATTGCAGACTCAGAGCTGGAGGGGACCTTGCAGCAACTGCTTTACAGTGGAAAAGACACTCAGACCCAGAGATCATCTTGCCCCAGTCTCAGCCCCCTCCCCCTTCTCAGGCTTCTGGAAAGGCGCAGGGCAGAGAAGCAGAATCTGCATCTGGGTTATCTACTTTCCTCCGTGGCTCTGACAGGGAGCCCTGGGAGCCCAGGAACCCAGGCTCCCTCTAAAACCAGAAAGCAGACCCCTGAGATGCACACACTACCCCCAGAACTCAGAACGTCAGCCTGGAGATGCGGAGTCGGCAGAAGGGCTGGCCCCTCGCGCCCCTCTCAGGATGAGGCCCCCTCTGGCCTCCTGGCGGAGGGGAGCTCTGACTAGCTCTGGGTGCCCCCGCTCGGGGAACGGGTGTTCCAGAGCTCCAGGATTTAACCAGTCTCCGTATAAGAGGAAGGCTCCTTTGGGAGCCACATTAACTCCTGGCTCCTAGAAGGCCTGTGGAGGCCCATCAGCCCTTCCAGCTGGGGGCACTGCTGGCGTGGCCAAGGCTAGGGACCTGGGGCCCAGGGGAGAGGGTGTGAATAAACCAGTAAAACTCCTCACTGCTAGAAAAACAAGGAAGACCCCAGAGACTTAATGCTGCTCCCAGAGGGGCTTCTCACCACCCCCAACCCAGGCAGCTGTGGAGGAGGGGCAGGGGAAATTGGGCCCCAAACGCTGGAGGAGAGAGATGTTCCCCACACCCAGGCATGGCCCTGTTCTCATCTGGACCCTGCATCAAGCGAGGGGCAGGTGGGTTCTTGCCTCCCAATTAGCCATTGCTTTCACTTCCTGAGCAAAACCCCACTGGCTGTAGGGGAGGTGGGGGGGGGCAGGTACAGGGCAGAGCCAGACTCCCCAGGGGCCCCTAGGAGGCACTCAGACGGGGAAGAGCTTCCCCGGAACAGCCAAGCCCCTTCCCCTGGGGGCCTGGGGCGGGTGAGTGCAGAGCAATTCCAGCAATAATTCTGGCCTCTCCCCAGGCTGGGGGAAAAGCTCTGCCCACTTACCAGGGAGCAAGGAGGGAGCCAGGAGGGGCGCTCCGAGGCTCAGAGTCCTCCCCATCCTCTGCCTCCCCAGGTCCTTCTCAGCCTCCAGCTGGACTCTCCCTGGGCTGGGCTGAGCCTCCTCTTCTCAGCTCCCGATCTCCGCCCAGAACGTCCACCATGGGGACACCCACCAGGAGGAAGTCACACCTGCTGCTGCTGGTCGCTGTGGCCCTCGTCTCCTCTCCAGGTAGGAGGGCTCATCTGGGCTCGGGGGCCCAGCACGATGATTATACTGCTCTGTCATTGCTGTTATTTTAGTGATGACTTCAGAAATCATTGACTCTCCCTTGCTGTGGCACTTAGATTTTTAAGGCCGTTTCCTTGCTAAAATTTTCCCATTTGCGCCTCTTTCCTTCCCTTCGAGGGGAGAAGGAACGTGTCTCCACCATAACAGAGATGAAAGCAGCACGATCCACAGAGGGCGAGGCGTGCCTTGGGCCACACAGCGAGACTGTGGCACTCTCAGATCTCCGTGGTTTTGTCTTCGAGCTGAGCCCCCTAAGGAGCTGTGCTGTCCTGTAATGGGGTAGCCACAGCCACATGGAATGATTCAAACCGAGATGAAATTCAGTTCTACAATTAGTCTTTCAGTTGTCCAAGCCACGTTTCAAGGGCTAATAACCATGTTGGATAGCACAGATGACAGACATTTCCATCACCACAGAAAGTTCTATTGGACCGTACCACTCTAGCATCCTGTCACATGAGGAGACAGGGATCAATACCACAAAACGCTAGGAGGGCTCCCCAGGGCCCCGCTGCAGCCTGACAGATGGACTGAATGCAGGACCTGAGAAGACATGAGACAAAGCGGGGGTGGTTGAGGCAGAAGGCCGGGGGGAGCCAAGCAAGAGTTCTCATGCCAGGGCTGCCGTGGGGTAGAAGGTAGGGAGAGCATGGGAGGGAGGCGGGTAGAAGAGGGCACCGCGGGCCCAGACCCGGGCTGGCTGGCCTCTGGGGAGCCTGTGGGGAAGGAGGTGCTGGAGACCCAGCCCTTCCGGGAGCTGGAGGGAGGTCCCCCGCTGCTCGGAGGGGCCTGTTGGGACCACCACTTGCCCTCTCTGTCCTGACCCCCGGCCCAAATCCATAGACACTTTTTTTTCTCTATAAAGATGTGCACGGGAGAAAGAGCCCTCATCCTCCTTCTTTCCTTCCTCCCTCCCTCCCTCCTCCCACCACCCCATTCCAGAGCACATTTTAGGTTCTCTCTCCCTCTCACCCGGGGAGGATTCCACTGGCACACTTTCAGATGCTCTCATTACCTCCTAACTGCCTCCCAGGCCTGCACCTAGATTCCTGAGGCTGCAGGGAAACGGGATTGACCCAGAGGCCCCACGGAGCCTCCCAGCACCCTCGCCCCCGGGCAGGGACAGAGCAGCCGCTGGGGCGGGGAACCAGCTGCACAGAGCAGCAGACGGCCACCCCCGAGACAGCAGAGGAGAGGCATGGGGGGCGGTGGGCGTCAGCACTGCCCTTCCCCATCGGGGACCGCTCAGGCTGGGACCACAACACCTGAGGCAGGGGTGTGGGCAGCGGCCAGACTTTTAGACCTAGAGATGCAGGAAGGTCCAGGGAAGGGGGGGACCTCCATCCCCGCATGGAACATCCATCACTGGCTCTCCCCCCTCCCGGAAAGCCGCCTCTACTCACTACCCTGCTCTGGAGAAGCGGCCGTGGGTTCCAGTCACCCAGGCCAGGAAAGGCGGCCAGGAGGCCCCTCCACGTTCTCGGTGCTCCTGCCCCTTCCTCTGGGCTTCCAGATGCCCATGTTTGGGAGCGCAGAGTTGCCAGGACAGGGAATCTGCATCAGAGAGGGTATGAAACACGGGCAGCAAGGGAGGGCGTGTGTGTGTGTGTGTGTGTGTGTGTGCGCACGCGCGCGTGTGCGTGAGTGCAGCCTCAGAGGAAGGTGTGGGATGAAGGAGAGTGTGTTTGTGGATGTTTAAGAGGGTGCCAATGCCAGCGAGTTGTTGCCTGGACCGGGTGCTGCATTTGGGGGGATGACGGATGCGTGTGGAAAGCCTTCCAGCAAGAGTGATGGCTCCCGTCCCCAGCTGCCCTCCAGAGGGAGCGCCCACGTGGCACCTCCGGGTGAGGCGGGGGAGGACAGGGCCTCGGATGGCTCTGATGGGAACCCGGGGAAAGAATCACGGCCGCTGTGGCTGAGGACACGGGCCACAGGTACAGCTGGCTGGGCTCCGAATCCCTGATCTGCTCCTCCTCGCTGTGCGATGTGGGGCAAGTCCCTGAACTTTCCTACATCTCAGTTTCCACGTGAGGGAAGTAAGGAAATGTCAGTGCCTGTCTCGTAAAGTGGTTAGGTGAGGAAATACAGAGCGTGGCATCCGATCCAGAGTAAGCACTCAGTAAAAAGCCCCTGTTTTTATCAGTATGAATGCGTGTGTGTGTGTAAATAAGCACACGCAGACGTTTGTAGCTGGGCGTGCGTGGGCACAGATGTGTGCATGAATGTGTTTCTGACTATGGGAGTTGCTCAGAGAGGTAAGTGTGTGTGTGTGTGTGCGCGTGCACGCGTGTGTGCATGTAAGGAAGTGTGTGTGGGCGAGACATGTGGGTGGACACTGGGCCGAGGGTGCGTACGTGGCTGAGTGCAAAGGACAAAGCTTTTTCTGGAAGAAAGCCAGTCTCAAAGCCTCAGTGCACCCCAGGCCCCCTCACCACCCCCCCCGCCATCCCCAGAGTTACTGGAAGCGCTTCTAACAGGAGGTGGCTCCCAGCAGCCCGGCCGCCCCCGCCAGCCCTCCTTCCCCACCCGTTGGGGCCGTCCCAGCTGGGGCAGGGGTCCCTACCCTCCACAACCATCATTAACTTGGGATTAAGCGGGGCTCTCCAACCGAGATGATGCCGGCACCCCGGCTGCCGCCTCTGAGGCCTAGGGCGGCGGGGAGCGCGATGGGGGATGCCATTTCAGGGAGCCCTGCCTCCTTCCTCATTCAGACAGCTGCCCTCCGCCCCCAGGGTCCAGGGCTGGGCCTCAGCTGTGGCATGGGATGGTGCGTCCCCCACCCCTGGAACGGGCCAGCAGCTGGATGCGCTGGGAGAGGAGGCACTAATTGGTTAATGGGGATCCCCCCACCCACCAAGGAGGGCCTGAAACCAGCTGCATTGAGGGGTAGGAGCCAATTAGGGGTGGCCTGGCTCCTGCCCGACACCCCAGAGGCAAAGCATGACGGGGCCCCACGAGTGAGCAAGCAGAGCCCCCGTGGGAAGGCAGGTGTGAAACACAGCCCTCTGTGCCTCAGTGTCCGCCCCCCACCTGCTGGCGTGGAACAATGGGGGCTGGAGAAAGAGGCATCCGCCCTGGCAGGGGGCCGGGCACGAGAACTCCAGTTGCACCAGCGACACCCATGTGCTCAGCAAACTCGGGAGACTGGGGTCTAGACCTACGTGTGCCACAGACTTGCCTTGTGACCACAAGCGAGTCACGCTGTCTCCAGGGCCTCTCTTTCTTCAACTGCCACAGCGGAATGGTATAAAAATGCCCCCCAAAGCTACCTGCATGCCCATCCCATAAACCTTTCCTTCTCCCCCCACCCTCCACCCTGCCCCATGCTTGGGTCCTGCAGACATTTCCAGAGCACACAGCCTGGGCCAGACAGAGCCCTCTTCCAGACCCTGGGCGGCGAGTTCGTATTCACTCCATTTCATAGGTAGAGCTGTTGAGGCTCAGAAGGGCTCCGTCACGGCCACTAAGAGGCCAAGAGCCGGAGCATGTGCCATGGGCCCAGAAGGACCATCAGGCCCCAGGGACACACATCCTCTCCCTGTCTCTTTGGCCCATGACTTCCCAGGCCTCTCACACCTACGGATCAGCTCCCTCTGCCCCGAGGGCCCCTGCACCCAGCTGCCTCCACAGCTCTCAGCACCTTGTCCTGGCCTCCTCTGTCTCCCTCCTTGGACTGCAGGCCCCTCGAGGAAGAGGGACTATGTCTTATTCATTTTTGCAACACGGTCTAGTCTGGTGTTAGGTACACAGCAGGTACTCAATACCTGAGTGTGGGAGGGGTGATTTACTCAACTAACTTGGCCAACGGGGGCCTGCCCAGCCTGCTGAAATTCAAGTTTCAATTAATTAAAATGAAAGAAAAATTAAAACTGGGTTCCTCGGCTGCACTGGCCATATTTGGAGTCTTGAAAGCTGGGGCTCGTGGCTACGATATTGGGCAGTGCAGAAAATGACATCTTGCCATCCTCGCAGAACGTCCTATGGGACAGCACTGCTCTCTTGGGCCCTAGGCCCTGAGGCCTCTGGTGGTGTCCCCCATCTACAGCTAGGAGTTCAGCCCGGGGATCCCCGGCCACCTTTGGGCCAGTCTTTGAAGATCAACCTCTCGGCCTGCTATTCCCAGAGGAGTCCACGGAGGAGAAGGTGACACTGGCGTGCCGTGCCCGAGCCAGCCCTCCAGCCACCTACAGGTGAGCCCCCCACGGCGGGCGCTGGAGGCCCCGGGGGGCCATGCAGCTCTTCCTCACCCCAGCCCTGCCCCCAGGCTGGGTGCGGCCAAGCGGGACTCAGGAGGGTCCCCGTCTGCCCCCCGCTGCAGGTGGAAGATGAACGGTACAGAGATGAAGCTGGAGCCCGGCTCCCGCCACCAGCTGGTGGGGGGCAACCTGGTCATCATGAACCCCACCAAGGCCCAGGACGCCGGCGTCTACCAGTGCCTGGCCTCCAACCCAGTGGGCACCGTCGTCAGCAGGGAGGCTGTCCTCCGCTTCGGCTGTGAGACCCATGGAGGGCTGCACTTCGGGGGAGGGCCATGGGGGGCCGGGAAGGGTGTCCAGAAAGGGCAGGGACTATGTCCCATGGAGGCCGGGCTGGGGAGAGACCCCCACTCTTGGAGGACGATGCCCGAGTGCCCGGTCTTTACCTCCAGTTCTGCAGGAATTCTCCAAGGAGGAGCGAGACCCGGTGAAAACCCACGAAGGCTGGGGTGTGATGCTGCCCTGTAACCCGCCCGCCCACTACCCAGGTGAGCCGGGCCCTGGCCCACGGTTAGACAGGGCACAGCAGGGTCCTCCAGCCACCCAGGGCTGGAGTAAAAGGTGGTGAGGGGCCCTTGGGAACACAGACCCCCTGACTCCCCAGCCCAAAACGATTTTGTGTTTCCTTCACGGGTCTGCCATTTTCTAGCTCTGGACCCCTCCCCCTGCCTTCAGACTGGGAGCACCCCGAGAGCAGGAGCACAGCCACATTTTTTTCCCTAGGGCTCCCCTCAGTGCCAGCTTGGAGCCTGGAGCCCTGGGGACTAGGTCTAGAGATAACCACCTGCACGCCGAGGGTCCCCCCCACCATGGCTGTCCCGCCAGCCTAGCACCCCGTGGTTTCCTCAAACTCCCCATGTCCTATCTATAGGCCTGTCCTACCGCTGGCTCCTCAACGAGTTCCCCAACTTCATCCCGACGGATGGGCGTCACTTCGTGTCCCAGACCACGGGGAACCTGTACATTGCCCGGACCAACGCCTCAGACCTGGGCAACTACTCCTGTCTGGCCACCAGCCACATGGACTTCTCCACCAAGAGTGTCTTCAGCAAGTTCGCTCAACTCAACCTGGCTGCAGAAGGTCAGGGTCGGGGGCATGGTGGGGAGCAGAGAGCTGGAAGGGTAGGCGGACGTGGGAAAAGAGGGTTCCTCTCAGAGGGTGGGAAGGGGGCTCACAGAGCCCAGGGTCTGGGGCCTGGACCCCTGGGTCCTCCTGCTGCAGGGCCCCAGACCCTTGCCCAGGCCCCCCGGGGGGAACAGGGTCAAGAAGGAGTCGGCTCTGAGCCACACTGCAGTTCTAAGCCCACAAGCACCTGGCCCGCATCACTTGCGTCTGGTCGGCAAACTCCCTCTCTCCCCAGATCCCAGGCTCTTCGCACCCAGCATCAAGGCCCGGTTCCCGGCAGAGACCTATGCGCTAGTAGGGCAGCAAGTCACCCTGGAGTGCTTCGCCTTTGGGAAGTGAGTGAGTGGTGGAGGAGGGAGGGGGCAGGCCAGGGCGCACCTTGTCAGAGCCCCTTGGGGGCCCGCAGGACCCCAGGGAGAGGGCAGGCAGGGTCTAGCAGAGAGGGGGCAGTGGGTAGGGACCACCTGTCACTGAGCACGGTCTCTCTGAGCAAAGCATCATGATGCCAGGGGCCTGACACACACTGGGCGCTCCCAGCAAGAGGGCACGGGCTCAGGGGACAGCCTGGGCAGCATCCCAGGCTGGAGGCAGGGAGCACCATGCACGAACCCCAACCAGGCCTGCCTGGTTCAAGTCCCGGTTCCGTCCCTGGCTGGTTGCGAGGCCATGGGTAAACTACTTAACCTCTCTGTGCTTCTGCATCCTCATTTGTACATGGAAACCGTCATAAAAAGTACCTGCATCACAGGGTTGTTCCGAGGATTAAGTGGGTTAACAACACGTGACATGTCTAGAACAGTGCCTGGCATTTAGTGAGCGTTCTACGCATGCTGACAGTTCTCTCTCTCTTTTAAGATTTTATTTATTTATTTGACAGAGAGAGAGAGAGATCACAAGTAGGCAGAGAGGTAGGTGGAGAGAGAGGGGGAAGCAGGCTCCCTCCTGAGCAGAGAGCCTGATGCAGGGCTTGATCCCAGGACCCTGAGACCATGACCTGAGCCGAAGGCAGAGGCTTTAACCCGTTGAGCCACCCAGGCACCCCTGACAGTTCTTTTTATAAAAACTGCAGTAGAAATCCTGCTCTCCCAGAGAAAGGATTCACTGGAATAGGGCTAAGCAAATAGCAGGTGCTCAACAAATGTTTGGAGAACAATGTGATTTGCACACTGGTTCTGTTTCCTCATGTCTCCTGTGGATACCCAGGAAGTCCCTGTTTGATGAAAAGCTATTGGGCTTCCAGAAAAAATTCATATTTAAAGCACGTGGGGCCGCCTGGTTGGCTCAATCCAGTAGATGTCTGACTCTTGATCTCAGCCCAGGTCTTGATCTCAGGGTCCTGGGTTTGAGCCCCATATTGGGCTCCACACAGGACGTTGGGTGTGGAGCCTATTTAAAAAAAAAAAAAGTACATGGAAGATTAATATATTAACCCTTTCAGACTCACTGATACCTTAGTCTGTTTTGGTACACAAGTTACTAATAAGTAGAGCCCTTTTGAAAAGTAAAGGCAAGGTCTGTTGGGGAGAGGGGGAGAGGGACCCATAGAGCCCCAGGTCACAGGCCACTGCTGAGGAAGGCCATCCCAGAAGAGGCTCAGTGGCCAGTGCAGGGTGGGGGCAGGGAGGGCAAGCCAGCTTCAGGGTACAGACCACAAGGAAGGTTACTGGTATCGCAATACTGCAGGGGAGATGAGAGGAGAGGAACCCTACTTTCTGCTTCTCCCCTGCCTGAGCTCTGAGCCTACCTACGAGAGGCCCCGCCCTCCCCTCTTGCCTCTCTCCCTCCCGCCTCCTCCCCATCCCCACTTGCCCAGCACCTCCCAAGGGCGGGACAATCTGCGGGCACAAGGGAGTCTGCCTAGCGCAGCCCACCCGCTCCGGCTTTGTCTCCTCTGCCAGCCCCGTGCCCCAGATCAAGTGGCGCAAAGTGGACGGCTCCTTGTCCCCCCAGTGGGCCACCGCTGAGCCCACCCTGCAGATACCCAGCGTCAGCTTCGAGGACGAGGGCACCTACGAGTGTGAGGCGGAGAACTCCAAGGGCCGCGACACCGTCCAGGGCCGCATCATCGTGCAGGGTACACAGCCGGGACACCCCCTCCCCCTGCCTTCACTCTTGCTCCCCTAGAAAGCAGATCCGAAAGTCAGGGAGGGGACCCAGGTGGCCCCTGGCTTAAGCCTTCCCGCCCCAGGATTGCACTGGGTGTGGAAACAGAAGAAACAGACGCTCAGAGCCTCACTCAGGGGTGCAGAGAGCACATGGAAGGCTTGGGAATGCTTTTAACCTGCTCAAACAGCCCCGACACAGACGCCAAGGGCCCACTTTCTTCAGCCTGCTTCTCCCGTGACCCTGTTGTGGAATGCCGAGGGCGCCCTCTGCTGTCTGTCCCAGGAACTGCAGCCCTGAAATCCGGGTCCATCGTGAGCAGGAGGCTCCTCCCAGCTCATCGCAGGCCTTTCTCTCTCTTGCTGCCCGCAGCTCAGCCCGAGTGGCTGAAGGTGATCTCAGACATGGAGGCTGACATCGGTTCCAATCTGCGTTGGGGCTGTGCGGCGGCTGGCAAGCCCCGGCCCACAGTGCGCTGGCTGCGGAACGGGGAGCCTCTGGCCTCCCAGGTAGGAGACTGGGGGCTTCCTACACGTAGCTGCGCTCGGCTCATCCAGTTCCCTCACCTTCCGGACCTTGCTCCCTGACTCTGCACCACCATGGGCCGTCTCTCTGGGACTATGAAGGCACCATGGGCCGGGTGGTTCTAGGTGCTTCTTTCCACCCCAGGTTCATATGGCCACAGGCTGGTCACCTGGATAGAGTCACAACTGAAGGGTCCAGAGACCTGGATCCAGGCACAACTGAGTCACAGAATCACTGTGTGGTCCTGAGTAGGTCACCGTGTCCCTCTGGCTTCAGAGTGCTGATATCCCGGGGCCTGGGGGGACCGGAGTCCTGGGATTCCGGGAGGTCCTGAGATGGGACTGGAGACAAATGAGTCCCTCGACAGGGGGAGGGGAGGGAGTGGCAGCCTAGAGTCTCTGCTGCACCCCCCCTCACGCCCCGCCCCTGCTCTCTTCGGCACAGTCCCGTGTGGAGGTGCTGGCTGGGGACCTGCGCTTCTCCAAGCTGAGCCTGGAGGACTCCGGCATGTACCAGTGTGTGGCAGAAAATAAACACGGCACCATCTACGCCAGTGCCGAGCTGGCCGTGCAAGGTATGGGCCCAGGGAGGCAGGGGATGTCGGCAAGGACACGCAGGCAGGGGCTTTAAGCCTTCTGAAGGGAAGCATTTCTAAACACACAAATGCAAGGGGCAGCTTCCCTTCGTTTTCCAGTGGCTTCGGAGCAGAGCAGAGGGATTGAAGAAAGGAGATGAGACACTCGATTCCGAACTTCCAGAAGACGGGTCTCTGGCTTGTCCCGTGTCTGGCACGATTACAGTTAAGGGTTGGCTGCCGCAAAAACAAGGGGGCAAAAATCACGGGCAACCAACTCAGTTAGATTTGTGTTTAAACCAGCCCCGTCCGCTGTGCGACCTTTGGCAACTTAATCTCTTTGTGCCTCAGTTTCTTGATGTATAAAAGGTGGGCAATAAAAGGTGGGCCCCACCCTTGGGGCGCCTGGGTGGCTCAGTGGGTTAAAACCTCTGCTTTCGGCTCCGGTCATGATCCCAGGGTCCTGGAATCGAGCCCCACATCGGGCTCTCTGCTCAGCAGGGAGCCTGCTTCCCCCCACTGCCCGCCTGCCTCTCTGCCTACTTGTGATCTCTGTCTGTCATATAAATAAATAAAATCTTTAAAAAGAAAAAAAAAAGATTCTCTTAAAAAAAAAAAAAGTCCCACCCTTATGTGGCTGTTTGGAAAAGGAAATGAGATAGAGGTAAAGCAGAGAGGACATGGCCCTCACCGAACAGGTACCCAGTAAATGTCAGCTGGTGCTAGTGTTCTTAGTTATATGATTTGAGCTCTTGGGGACTCAGTTTTCTCATCTGTAAAATGGGTATAGTGATACATATCTCGTCAAGTTGTGGTGAGCTTAACTAAGGTTCGTTCGTTCGTTTATTTGTTCCTTCAACCAATATTTATTTATTCAACACCTTGTAAGGAGTGAACATGAAAGATAAGGTCTCTGCCTTCCAGTATCCTACAATCCAGTGGAGAGTGAGGGACAATCACAAAATCACGTAATTAAATAGTTTTGGACAGCCGTAAGAAAATTACGGTATAAAGAAACCAGCAGAGTGGTAGGAGGATGGTGGGCCAGTTAGAGAGGGTGGCTCCACCTCTCGGAGGAAGTCACATTTGGAGTGTGACCTGAGTGTTAACAAGCAGTCAGCCATGCAAAGATCTGAGGGATTTTTTAAGCAAAATGTATGGCCAGTGCAAAGGTCCTGAAGCAGGAAAATGGCCCAGATGATTGGAGCATAATAAACGAAGGAGAGAGGGGCGCCTGGGTGGCTCAGTCGTTAAGCGTCTGCCTTTGGCTCAGGTCATGATCCCAGGGTGCTGGGATCGAGCCCTGCATTGGGCTCCCTGCTCGGTGGGAAGCCTGCTTCTCCTTCTCCCTCTACCTGCTACTTTGCCGTCTTGTGCTCCCTCTCCGTGTCAAGTAAATAGATAAAAATTCTTTTAAAACAAAACAAAACAAAAAACAAATCGATGAAGGAGAGTGGCGTGAGAGGTGGGTGGAGAGGTGGGGTCGTGTCTGTGAGCCCTTGTGAGGGGCTGGGACTTCCTCCTGAGTGTGTTCAAGTTTCTCCCAAGACACGCCAGCCTGCAGAAGTGGAGGAGGAGATTGGAGAAAGAAAGTGCAAACACAGGAAGACGGACTAGGGGGTTTTCAGTAGTTTTGCAGGAGATTTGGCGGCTTGGCCCAGCAGGGGGGCAGTTGGGGGGCGGTGACCGGCCGGGGCTGGACTCTGGGTGTATTTTGGCAGTGGTGCTGCCACAAGTCACTTGTGGTTTAGCCTCGGCCGATGCGTAGAGTGTGTAGCGTGGGGCCGGCGGACCTCTTCATCCAGGCAACGGGCAGTGTTAGGATTCCCTGTGTGACTGCAGGGCACTCCTCTCTCCTTCCAGCCCTGGCCCCCGACTTCAGGCTGAACCCCGTAAAGCGTCTGATCCCTGCGGCCCGCGGCGGAGAGATCGCTATTCCCTGTCAGCCCCGGGCGGCTCCGAAGGCCGTGGTGCTCTGGAGCAAAGGCACCGAGATTTTGGTCAACAGCAGCAGGTACGACCCCTCCTCTGCCTGAACCAGTCCCTGGTCCTCCTCACCCACTGTGCAGGCGAGTCCCCTTCCCGTGATGACGACAGTGTGACCCTAGTTGGCCAGATCTGCTTTGTTCCTGCTGCAGAGTGACCGTAACTCCGGAGGGCACCTTGATCATAAGAAACATCAGTCGGTCAGATGAAGGCAAATACACCTGCTTTGCTGAGAACTTCATGGGGAAAGCCAACAGCACGGGCATCCTCTCTGTGCGAGGTGAGGGGCGGACGGCAGGTGGCTCAGCTGCCACAGGGTGCCTGTCCCTCCTGGCCACTATGCTCTTGTGTTCCCACCTTCCTCCACGTTCGGTTTTGAGGCTATCCTGGGACTGGACTTTGTTTGGGAAGTCCCTTGCCACCATCCAGAATCTACTCCTGCCTCCCTCTCGCACACTCGTGAGGCTCCTGGGAGGTCAAGGTCCTGTTGGCCATGCTGCCTCTTCTCTTCCTTGGGGCTTAGGGACCAATGCTCTCACCCTGCCCTGCTGCCTCTGCCTGGGCCTCTTCCCTCTCCCTCTACCCAGGGATGTTGTTTCTCTTGGCAGATGCAACCAAGATCACCCTAGCCCCCTCGAGTGCGGACATCAACTTGGGGGATAGCCTGACCCTGCAGTGCCACGCTTCCCACGACCCCACCATGGACCTCACCTTCATCTGGACCCTGGATGACTTCCCCATCGACCTCGATAAGCCCGGGGGGCACTACCGGAGGGCCAGCACGGTAAGGCCTGAAGCCAGACAACACTTAGCTCCTCCCTCCTTCTGGACAGACAGGGGATTCAATATGTCCTTAACCGTGACTACCCCAGAGCCTTTCCCCATTCCCTGAGGAATGCCAGGCTGGCAAGCTATCCTAGGATTCAGAGGAACTCCCTTCCTTGGATGGGCAGTTCCCTGGATCCCACCTGAAGATGACACATTTAGAAGAGGGTTAGGTATCAGCCTGGCAAGGCTTCCTCCCCATCCTGACCCCAATGCAAATGACATCATCAGCTTGGACCATGGTTGACTGTCTCTGTAACAAACTGTTGTTCAGTCCTGTGGTACTAACAGAGGAGAAGTGGATTCCTTCCACTGAACAAACCAAAACCCCAAGATGCTGAGGGGTCCATGGACATAATGGAGCAGAAGACTCCGAGCCCCACCTCATGCCTCACTGCACTAGCCGGGGCCCCCTCCTCTGACCTGCCCCCCCCAATTTCTGTCCCCCATGTGCAGAAGGAGACCGTTGGGGATCTGACCATCCTGAACGCCCAGCTGCGTCACGGCGGGAAGTACACGTGCATGGCCCAGACGGTGGTGGACAGTGCATCCAAGGAGGCCACCGTCCTGGTCCGAGGTGATGGGGTTTCCCACCCCGGCCCTGCCCCCACTCCCTCAGGGGCCAGCTGGGCTCTTCTCACCTGTGCTCCCTAACTCCCCTCCTCTCCCAGAAAGCTGTGGGGGAAGGGCTTCTGAGAGAGAAGGGCTTCTAAGTCCCCAGAGCCGGAGCCAAACTCATCCCATGGTTTTTTGAAGGTTCTAAATAGAATATTCCTCCTCCAAAGCCACAATTTTAAAAATCCCCTTCCTAAGACGGGAGAACTCTGCTGAGGCCAGCAGTTTTCAAAGCCTGGTGGTGGCAGGCTTTGGAATCTATACACATCTCTGCACGAAGGCCTCTGTGAGCCTCTCCAGCTTGGGACACATTGCTCCAACGTCCCAGACCCCATCTGCCACTCACTGCTGTCCGTCCCCCCCACCTTCCTGGCCCTCCCACCCCATGCGTGTTTCGTGCGCCCTCTGCTGCCCCCTTCTGGGTATTGCACCAGCCCCTGCCCGCCGGAAGGAGACTGGCTCAAATTTGGAGCAGATGAGTTCTGACTCCCTGTGCTCTGACCCCCTGGTGCAGGTCCACCAGGTCCCCCAGGAGGTGTGGTGGTGAGGAACATTGGCGACACCACCGTCCAGCTCAGCTGGAGCCGAGGCTTTGACAACCACAGCCCCATTGCCAAGTACACCCTGCAAGCCCGCACCCCACCTGCAGGGAAGTGGAAGCAGGTTCGCACCAGTAAGTGTGAGGCTCCACCCAGGTCAGTGCTGATAAGGTCTGGCTGAGCCTGAAACTTCAGAAAGGGACAGGCTTAGGTCCTCTGCCTGCAGGGAGTTCCCTGGCCCTTGGGGGAGGCGGTCCCATAGGCTGCAAGAGAGTGGGAAAAGGGCTGGAGAAGGCAGCGCTCAGTCTGTGTCCTTGGAACGTTGACAGACCATCTCTGGAGTTCCCACTGATGCACACAGCCTCAACAAAGGTCCTGGGGTAGGGAGGTCTACTAGTTTTCCCATCCTTTCTAAAAGAGGTGCTGAGCACTGAGTATGGCAGGCACCACCTTGAGGGCCGGATACAAGGTGAGTCAGGCCCAGTCCCTGCCCTTTCCATATCGACTAACTAACCAGTGCCAGCACACTGATTCTGATCCCTTGCAGATCCCGCCAACATCGAGGGCAATGCTGAGACCGCCCAGGTGCTGGGCCTCACGCCCTGGATGGACTATGAGTTCCGGGTGTTAGCCAGCAACATCCTGGGCACCGGGGAGCCCAGTGGGCCCTCTAGCAAAATCCGGACCAAGGAAGCAGGTCAGAGTCCTGGGGGTCCCAAAGAGAAGTAATGTCAGGGCACAGCCCCGAGCCCTCCTGGAAGGGAACCCCAGGGGAGGAGCAATTATGGGAGTTCCCACCCTGCTCACCAGGCTTCAGACTCTAACAAAACAGATGAGAAAGGGACACAGTCAGGGCAAGGCCCCTGCTCCACGCGACGCACTCTGCCCTGGGCCACAGCCTGGGCCTGTGGGGGCTGGAAGAACCATCCAGTCCAAACTCCTCATTTTAAAAAAACGGGTCAACCTTACAACTGCATGTGAATCTACGATGATCTCAAAATAAAAGGTTTAAGTGTATTTTTTAATGGAAAAATCAAAGTCTGGAGAAGAGTCTGGACTTGAACTCAGGACCATGGGGGTGGGTGATGGGCAGATGTCCTTCCTGGTAGTGCATGAGCTGCTGAAATCAGTTAATGAGGAAGGTGTGTGTGTGTGTGTGTGTGTGTGTGTGTGTGTGTGTGTGTAGGGAAGCAGTCAGTGTCTCTAAATCCTTTAGAGAAGGCGGAATGTACAATCTTCCCACAAGCTTACCTGAAAGGCAGGTGGTATCACATCTTGAGAGGGGAAGGAAGGAGAGAGAAGCCAGGAGGGGCACCTGCCCACCCAGATTTTCACAGCTGAAGGTCCAAAATGAGAACCTTGGGGTCCTGCAATGGGCAACATGGAATCAGGACACCGTCTCCCCTTCCCCGCCCACCCAGGCTTCCCGCCTCCCATGTGTAGTAAGGGTCTGCCTTCTTATGTCCTTTAAACACAGCTTCCCATAAGCCCCAGGCTAATTCTCCAATCAGTCAACATTTTTACCTGGTACCTCTCCAGAGTAAGGAATTCCAGGAAAAGTCCCTTCTTTGGTTGAACTTCTTAGAGAGACAAATGAAGGGAGGGGAGTGATCTCCTTCATTCTGGTATCCCAGGTGTTGGTGAGCAAAAGACAGCCAGGATGCAGAATTAAGATGATGGGCTTTGAAATCGGAAGAGTTGAGTTCAAATTTGAACTATGCCATTTATTAGCTGTGTGACCTTAGGCAAGTCACTTAACTGCTCTGGGCCTTGGTTTTTCCACTTGACAAGGGTGATGAGAACGCCCAGCTCACAGGACCACGTGGGCAGTGTGGTCAAGCACCCCTTGCACATCACAAAGCCCTAAACTCCTGGCATCAAAATCAAGTGATAAGTTTCCCATTGCTGGATTCTCTGTAGAACTCTTTTGACGCCCAGCCAAGTTACCCCCTGCCAAGATTCCTGATCTAATTAAGTAGAGTCTTGTTTTAATATCAGCTTTGTTGAATACTAGAGACAATTAGGAAATTAAATCTGCCATGGAGAGAAAAAAATAATAATAAAACTCCCTGCAACATGAAAGAAATTTTTTTTTTCATTAACTGCAGTTCCAGATTATTTATTCCCCTCATTTTAGAGCAAACTGGAGTAGGTCTGTGTTATTTAGTTTAAACTGACGGGAGAGGAGACGACAAAGATCATTGTGGATCAGCGACAATGACGGAGCAAGGACTGGTACACGAGCTGGGCACCATCGTCCTTGATTTTATTCTTCTTAGAGCCCTTGGAGAGAAACATTATTATCCTTATCTTACGGAGAGGGGAATCAGGCTCAGAGAGGTTAAGTAACTTGCCCAGGGACTCGCAGCTAGTAAGTGGCAGAGGTGGGACCTGATGTCAGGTCTCCCTTGACTCCAGAGCCCACATCCAGAGGTCCTGTTGGAGGACAAACCTAGGGGTGTCCCCATGCGTCTGCTGCACAGGCACAGGCACGAGGCTGCTGCCCCGTCACTGCGCATTCACCAGCCACATCTGTGTCCCTTGGCCCTGACAGCCCCCTCGGTAGCACCCTCGGGACTCAGCGGAGGGGGTGGAGCCCCCGGAGAGCTCATCGTCAACTGGACGGTAAGCGGCAGGGACAGAGGCAGAACTGTGCCTCCAGCTCTCTGGAGGGACAAATCCTGCCCACCCACCCCCACCCCGTCCTCACTCATCTCCAGATTGCGCGGCATGTAGAGAGGACCCAGACTGAGCCGCTGTGCAGCCCCGACTCCGGGTGCATGGCACCCCCTTCCCTCCCCTCGCATCCACTGCAGGAGAAAACCCGCCAAGGCCCCCAAGCCCCGGGGCTGCCCCTCTTGGCTGAGGCTGGGGTGGGGGGCGGGGAGGCCGGGCAGGGAAACGCACCGCGGCCCCTCGCCCACACCACGCTCTCGCCCCCAGCCCATGTCACGGGAGTACCAGAACGGAGACGGCTTCGGCTACCTGCTGTCCTTCCGCAGGCAGGGCGGCAGCGGCTGGCAGACCGCCCGGGTGCCCGGCGCCGACGCCCAGCACTTCGTCTACAGCAACGACAGCGTCCGGCCCTACACACCCTTCGAGGTCAAGATTCGCAGCTACAACCGCCGCGGGGAGGGGCCCGAGAGCCTCACAGCGCTGGTGTACTCGGCCGAGGAAGGTGGGCCACCTGTCCGTGGGGTGTGCGGGGGAGGGCGCAGCCCACACCCCAGCTCAGTTCCACGTCAGGGCGGGGAGTGAGGGACAAGGGGCACCTGGCCTCATTCCCTGGCTACCCTGTCTCCCTGCAGGCCTGGGGGAGGAGGAGGGAGGCTCCGTGGGAAGAGAAGTGGCCTGGGGGAGGCTGTGGGAACTCCCAGGTGACCTTCTCCCAGGGCCCTGGGTTCTCAGAAATCCTAAGCAAGGGCAGGCCCCCGTTGGCAGCTTCTCTGCAGGACACGGGGAGGCCCTGGGGAATCCAAACCCCTTCTGTATCGGTCCCCAGAGCCCAGGGTGGCCCCTACGAAGGTCTGGGCCAAGGGGGTCTCCTCCTCAGAGATGAACGTGACCTGGGAACCTGTGCAGCAGGACACGAACGGCATCCTCCTGGGGTACGAGGTGAGCACTGCCCTGGGTCCTGGGACCGGAAGGGGGGCTGGGGGCACCTCACAGCTCACTAGTCGCTCCTCCTGGGATTACTCATTCACTGAGGTGGGGGACTGCTGTCGTCGTGCAGCCCTGGGGAGGTAGCCTGAGCCAAGCCCCTCCCCAGGTCTAGAGCGAAATTCTGACCTGTGGATCGACTTGAAGTTCAGTGCTTGCCTAGAGCCAGCCCTGGAAGCTGGGGGAGCCGCACAGGTTCCGGAAGGGACATAGCCTGTCCCTTTCACACCAGAGCCCAGTTAGCTAGCATCGTCAGCCTGCGGAGCAGAGCATGGCCCCCTCCTCGTGCCCGTTGGTCGTCCTGTTCCTGGGAACGGTGGGCCCAGCAGTTTCCGGCCTGAGCTCTGAGCCCCCAGTGACTCCATGCTGGAGCAGCTTGTGGAGTGGACAGAGAGCAAGAGGGAGCAGTAGGAAGGGCAAGAAGGGAAAGGAAGAAATGTCACCGCTTAGGGGGAAGGGTCAGGCGAGCGTCCGGGCCAGGCTAGACGTCCCATTCCAGCAGCCTTAGCTCTGGGTCTGAACGCAGTGGGACAGGTGAGCTGCACTGAGGAGGTAACACGAAAGTGTCCTTGATGGGGACGAATATTTAACCAGTCCTGCTAATATGATGATGGTTTGCATCTTTACCGGGCAGCCGTCATCAGCTCGCCGGTGGGGGCGGGGACTGCTTCACAAGTACAGACACTTGTTTCATATCCTTCCGCACAGCCCCCCGGGATCCCAGAGAGAACTCAGTGGGGTTGGGTTCCCGCAACCCCCCATCCCCGGGTGGAGTCTGTGCCCAGCCCCACGCGTCACCTGCCCCCCTTGCCGCCTCATTCCACCCAAGTCTCCACGCTGCCCCTGGACCGGACTCTGCTGGCTGCTGAAAAGGCAGCAGCCCCCCTCCTCCATCCACCTTAGCTCGCTTCCCTGGCACTTCTTTCTCCTCTCAAAGAAGAAGAGAAACTGGGAGCCTTCTGAGTGGGTGTGAGTCCAGCGGTCAGATGGCCCTTCTTACCCAAGGTCCCCTCCTCTTGGTCCTTGGGTGCTCCGGCCTCCCACCCGGTCTGCGGTAGTAACATCCCCTCACTGATCTTGCGGTTTGTCCAGAGGCTGCTAATGATAGTGGGAAGCACGTGTCCCTGCTGTCTTGGAGCACATGGCCCAGTGTCCGGGTTCTGAGACCCGAGACTGAGTCATGAGGACCAGAGGGAGCAGGAGAGGAACAGAATGTCGGTGGTCAGGGCCAGGGTCAGGGTCCCCCTGAGGTGGGGGCTTAGCTGCTGACCCTAGGGGTTCCCCTTGCCCCCTTCAGATCCGCTACTGGAAGGCCGGGGACAAGGAAGCGGCTGCCGACCGAGTGAGGACCGCGGAGCTGGACACCAGTGCCCGAGTCACTGGCCTGCACCCCAACACCAAGTACCACGTGACCGTGCGGGCCTACAACCGGGCAGGCACTGGGCCCGCCAGCCCTTCTGCCAATGCCACCACCATGAAGCCCCGTGAGTCTCTCCCGAGGGTAGGAGCACCTCTAGGACCACCCACTCCCGGGTGATAAGACTAATGTTCTAGGCCACAAGCCCGGGCCTGGACAGAAACAAGGCAGCAAGACTAATGAAAATAGGGGCACGTGGGTGGCTCTGTCGGCTAAGCGTCTGCCTGGGTCCTGGGATCAAGCCTCGCATTGGGGTGCTTGCCTATCAGGGAGCCTGCTTTTCCTCTGCCCCTCTAGGCTCCCGTTCTTTTAAATCTTTTAAATCTTTTAAAAAAAAAAGAAGAAGAAGAAGACTAACGTAAATAGGGAGAGCACATGGGCTCTGAAGCATCTCTCTTCTCCAGCCTTCGGAGTTTCCTGAAGTTTGTTTCTTAGGCAGCTGTGATGGAATGTTCTGGGTGTAATGGCTGCGGGCAGACACATAGTAAAAGACTGGCTAAGGCAAGGGGGTGGCTGGGGAGGAAACACTGGGAACATTTCTCAGTCTTCTCCCTCCTCCCGCAGCTCCACAGCGCCCTCCTGGCAACATCTCGTGGACTTTCTCAAGCTCCAGTCTTAGCATCAAGTGGGATCCTGTGGTTCCTCTCCGAAATGAGTCTGCGGTCACGGGCTATAAGGTAAGGAAGGGCTCCAGAAGGCACCGAGTGGCCGGACACTGGGCCTCTGCGTTTCCAGCGGACACAGGGAGCTGCAGTGTGGAGCAAGTCCGAGTCCGACGGAAGAAGAGTTCGGGATTGTTGGCGCCACAAGATACGGATAGCTTGTAGCAGAGACAGAAGAAAGGGGGCTGAAGGGAGGATGGCGGGAAGGCAGGGCTCGAGGGGACCAGGTGAAGTCTGAGGGTCCTTCCAGCCCTAAGGAGTCTGCAAAGATGGCTCAGCTTCTTGCAAGCTGTCCTCCCACCAATGAGGAGTTTATTTAAGGGCCTGCTCCTGGTCAGCGGGCAACGGGAAGGGTGAGGACCAGCACTGAATGGGCACGTCCCGGTGTCCAGAGCTGGGGAAGAGAGAAGAACCAGCCGGTGTGAGGAAGCTCTACCTTGGCTGCCCTCCTCTCCACAGATGCTGTACCAGAACGACCTACACCCGACTCCCACGCTCCACGTCACCAGCAGGAACTGGATAGACATTGCCATTCCGGAAGACATCGGCCATGCCCTGGTGCAGATTCGGACCACGGGGCCTGGAGGGGATGGGATCCCAGCAGAAGTCCACATCGTGAGGAATGGAGGTGCTGGCTCTCCCCCACCTTATCCCCCAGGAGAATCAGGGTCCATGCAGATGCCTGATGAAGTAACCATTCCCACCCAAACCAACCCCAACTCAGCCAGACCCCCAGGGCACAGGGGAAGGTGGGCAGGAACCAAGTGTAACCGAGTCCCAGCACTGTGCCACCCCCTGTCATCCCCCTGCCCCCACGTCCCTGAGGGCCAGGGAGGATTGAGCTCCCTTCACCGGGTACAGGGCCAGTCTTTAGACCACAGAAGCAAAGGTCTTACAAAATGCTGTAGGAGTAGGGCTGAGAACCCCTCCCAGCCCTGAAGCCACCCTCCCGGAGTCTCCTTAGCCAAGCTTTGGATCCTGTCCAGGGGGTGGGGCGGGGACAGGCTGGCCCCAAGCCCAGCGGACACAGCCCCACTTTTCCACCTGCTGGTTTCAGGCACAAGCATGATGGTGGAGAACTCTGCAATCAGCCCAACCCCACATCCCGGCACCATCCTTTCCCCGTCGATGGCGATGCTGGTCCTCGTAGGCTACCTGGAGCTCTGATCTTGGCACCCCTCCCTCTCCGCCACAGCCAGACCCCCGCCTCTGACAGACACAGCCAGCTGGCCCTGGCCCTGCCTGACGCCAAGGTGGCCCAACACTGTGCCTGAGAATGGCTGGCTTTCAGTACCTACTTTAAACAGTGCCCTTTTTTGTAGGAGGTAGGATATTTCATATTCTGCCGCAGGATAGAACCTGTGCAAGGACTTTTTTTCTTTAAATCAAAAGACACCAGGCAGTAACTTCCATGATGATACTGAACCCTACACCTGTGACCTCTGGGGCGCCTGGACGGAAGGAACAGGCCCATGGGAAGAAGGGGGTTTGAAACCACGTATCGGCACATTGGGGAAGATGACGCTCCTGTCTCGCAGATGGACTCCGCCGCCTGAGCAGAGTGCCTGGCCCAGTGGGAAGACACCAATGGGTCACAGTAGGACAGAGCATAAACATCAATGTCCCTCAGTATAAGGATAGAGCCAGACCCAGGACCAAGAACTCCCCTACTTTCCCAAGGGCCTGCACAGCTGGACCCTGACATTGTCCTCGATGCCCCTAGGGGCCCCTGCCACGTACCCAGGTGGCTGAAAACCAGTGCCCCAAAGTCCAAGGCCAGGAGCCTGAGTCCCTGCAGCTCTGGGAAAGGGTCCTCCAGACTGCCGAGGGTGGGAGCGCAAAGGGGTTGAGAAGCTGGGACACCGGGTAGAAAGGGGCACCAGACTTGGCCTGAGGCACAGTCCCAAGGCAGGTGACGCTGCTGTCTTAGCCAACACTGCCAACCTGACCCTGTCACCCCCAGAGTGACAGAAGCCACCGCTGGTGGCCGAGTGACTAAAGGGCTTATCTTGGGGAGGTCCCCCACTCCACCAAGACCCATCCTGCACGGCCCCTCCAGGGTGTGGGCAGGAGCCGGGAGACAGGGCTCACGCGCCCACCCTCTTCCTCCTGCTCGGCCTGCAGGCCCAGGGCTGCCACTCTCCAGCACCGACTCCCGCAAGCCTGGACAGGAAGGTGGCATCTGTTCTGTGCGTTCTGCAGTCGGGAGTCTTCCGAGAAGGGCAAACGATCCCTGCGGCCCTGCCTGCTCCCAGGGATACCCTGACCACCTGGCCAGACCTGCCCCCCAGCTGCCTCTGACTCCTCTTTTGCATTTCCCCAGGAGAAAAAGGCATTAATAAATCACGCGCTCTGGGTCCATTCCCAATCACGGGACATCAGAGCTGGAGGGGGCTTTTGAGCTAGACCTGCCCCAGCCCCTCACTTTACAGACGAGGAAATGGAAGGGTCAGGGACCTCCCAAGGTCGCACAGCCTGTCCTACCTTCCTATTCCGAGCTGTCTGTCCAGAGGAAGGGGGCAGCTCTGAATGGCTACGGCCTGGTTAAGAAGGTCTTAAGAAGGGCAGGGAGCTATGAGGAGGTCCAGGTGGGTGATCGTGGGGTGACTGGCATGGCTGGGTCCTTCGCCAGGAGGCAACAGTCCTTCGCCTTCTAGGCCAAGCTCCTGCCAGGCCCTGGACATGCGGTGCTGGCTTGAAGCCTCCTGCTGCCCTTACCCTTGCTCCAAGTAAAGGGACCAAAGCAAGGACAGGGATTCCCCAAATCCAGGCAGCAGCGATGGCACAACCAGGAAACCTCCAAAGCCCACGCTCTAACAGGTGGCCCTTCACATCCGGGAGCAGCGGGACAGGCATCTCATAAGGGACAGGCCCGTGGAGGACCCCAGAGCCTGGCTTCTGTAGTTTACAGTTAGAGCTCTATTTTGTTATGGGTTTTTAACTTTTAAGTCCTGCTCTATTTTCCTGGGCAGGTTTCTGTTGATGTTTACCCGCTACGATTTTTTAAAAACGTTAGCTCACACCCCTTCTCCGGGCTACCGCTGCACCCACCATCCCGCCCCTGGCCCGGGCCTGGAGCCCCTGAGCCACTGACCAAACCCTCCGCACCTGCTCCCGCCCTCCTGCCCCCTCTCCAGGCGAGGTGCTGGGGGCTCAGCTAAGTGACCGCACTCTGAATGCAGAGACCCCTTCCTGGTCCCCAGTTCCATCAGAAAGGGGATGCGGAGGGTAAAAATCAGCCTTCCTCCAAGGCTTAGCTGAGTCTTTCCTCACTGCCTGGGGCTGTGGCAGGGGAAGCAGGGGGACGGGATGTGTAGATGTTGGGGCGGGAAGGCTGAGCCGGCACAGGGCCTCACCAGGGAGCGGGACGCTGATGTTCCTGAGCTTGCTTGCGGCAAAAGACACTCGCAAGTAAGAACCTCTGTTCTAACGAGGCCCCTTGGCAAAGGAGAGGAGAGCAGACTGTCTGGAAAACCTAGCAAGGGCTTTTAACTAGAAAACTCAGCCCAGAACTTGCTAAGGGTATGCAGAGCTGTGCCGAAACTCGTGTGCCGGGAGCCTCAGGTGTCAGGCCAGGGACGGATGCAGGCCCAGTGAGACAGAGGGTGACTGGAGGTCATGCAAGTGTATAAAACAGAACAGTCCTCGGCTGAGGTGGCGTTATACAGAAGAGCCCCTGCCTGCCCGGGGGGGCCTCTGATTTCCACCTTCTCTGCTCGCTCGGGCTGAGTCTCGAGCCTGCTGTGGTCAGGACTTGATTCTGGATCTCTTCTCTCCCACTCACTAAGCCTGGGAGGAGGCGACAACAGGAAGAGCCACAGACAAGTACTGCCCTGCACAGCTTAGTGGCCAGTAAGTGCCTTGAGGACTAGGGACAGAGACAGCCTGCAGACGGCCTCGGGGCCGTGGGGGACAGTCTCTCTGTTCTGCATACATTCGGGTTCAGCCTACAGGGCCCTCTGCCCCCAGGTCTTGGCTACTTGGTCCTCATTGCTCTAACAGTCTCGATGTATACCTCGCCCTCACAGGGACAGGAGCTCTCTCCTGCTCGGGGCTTGGGGGCCAGCAAGGTCAGGTTATCCACTCCCATTCAGGCTGCCAAAGGACAGAGATGGGCCAGGGAACAGAAAAGGCCACGAGGAGGGGCTCTTTTTGATAGAAATAACAGGAGAACCTGAGGTCAGACATCAGGAAGAGCGGCTGTAAGGAGAGCCCGGGATGAGGGATGGAGAGGCTGCTTCCTTTTCTAGGGAAACACTGGGGAATTCTGACGGCTGTCGATCTGGGGTCTGGGCCCGCTGAAGTCTGGAGGGTGAGCGGATGCCCTTGAGCGTCCTTCCAGGACCATGATTCTGAGGTCAGCTCAGGAAGAGTCTTGGCGCTCCGTCCTGCTTCGGCCCTGTCCCGGAGGGGTAATGACCCCAGTCACCATTATGAAGTGGGGAGGCTCGCCTCGGGCATTCCTTCGTGGCAAACGTTTCTCAGCAGCCCCCGGGGCCACGGAGGCTCCTCGAGGCAAGAATCCCCGCAGGCTAAGGATGTTTAACTCCCTTCATCTCCTCCCCACCTAGAGGACTCTCTTTTCTCTTCCGGGCTCAGAATGGGACCACCAGCTGGAGGGGCGGGCTAGCGCTGCCGGACGAGCGTTAGCCTCAAACCTGGTTCCGAGGCCCAGGTGTGGTGCCCTGTTTCCCAAGGTCAGACCTAAGCTGGGTGTTGTAATGGGATGAACGAGGTTGCGGGAGAGGCTCCTGGAGGGGTGTGAGGGATTAGGTGGGCAATCGTAAGGGACTTCTAGAAGCTCCATGGAAAGAGGTGTCCAGTAGCTGTATATAGGGTCGTAGGCTTTGAGAAGGCAGGATAGTAAAGGGAAACTGGAGCAGGGAGGAAAAATAGGCCAGAGAACTGCCCCGAGCCCCAGGGAGCCTAGCGCCCTTCGATGGGGTACACCCTGGCTCGGCCCCCAGACTCCAACTTACCCAACCCCATCCAGGGCCTGCTGAATTAGGCTCACGGCTGGGCGAGGGCTAGGGCTCCATCAGACGCCCCTGACCGGACCCCGTCTTTGTTGGGACGGGAACCACGTCGGCCAGCCTGTTGTTCGCCTCTCTTGTACTTGTTGTGACGGTAGTTATTTATTGGCTCTGGTAGTGGCAGTGCTTAAATAAAGATGATTTCTCAGCGTGCTGGGGCGGCCGGCTCCTGCCGCGCGTGGGTCTTTATCGTCCGGCTGGAGCCCACGGCCTGTCCTGTTCTCTAACCCAGGCTGTGGCTGATGCCTGCCCCCTTCACACGGTCAGCTCCAAGGAAGTCCCAGCCACTGTCCCCTGCTGCGTCGTGCCGGCCTGGGAGGGGGAAGCATGAGGCCGTGGGAGCGTAAGGCGGGCTGCGCAGGCCGGAAGCAGGCCTTGTGCTGCCTTCACCTGCCAACCGGGCGTAAACGGTGCTCGTGGACGGCACCTCTTCAGGCTTCCCTGGTTGTTAAGACATCGGACAGCAGTGACTCAACGGTACCAAAGGGAAGCCTTCCTCCCGCGGGCACACAGTGACTGACCCCCACCTAGCAAGAAGGTGCCTCTCGTCTCCGCTCTCAGCAGCCAGGAGGGTGGGAATTCCTACTCCCATTTGACAGCGGCAGTGTCCTCTCCTGCATTCAACAAACATTCGTCGCGGACATACGTGCACAGCGACACACATGCACACAGACAGCCGTGTGACTGAGCTCTTCCGTGCAGAGCGGGCAGGGCTCCGTGTCCGGGAGGACGGTGATGAAGGGAGCAGAGCCCCTGCTCTCAGTGCTCAGCAGCAGCGGCCCAGGCCCACGGGGACCCCCCTCCCCAGGGTGGGGGGGCGGCTTGGGTAGCAGGACAATAGGCTAATTCCTCCCCCCTTGGGAGCACTGGCCAGTCTAGAACCCAAATTTTACTCAGCATGTCCTCGACCCTCCCTCCAGAGGCAGACCCAGAATTCAATGAACTGAACGGAGTTCTTGTCTTTACTGACACATCGGAGGGTTTGGTTTTTATTTCCCCCCTTTCCTGTTTAATCCCTTCACATTCTGAGAGTCAAAATTTTACGAGCCCCCAGCACAGAGGGCTGTGAGCCCAGAGCTGCACATTATCCCATCCCATGTGTCCCTGCCAGCTTGCACCAGATATCAGACCAGCTCCTTGGCTCCTCGTGGGTCTGGCTCTTCTGCTGGAAAAGGGGGAACTGACCCCTTCCGTCCTCCTCCCTCCCCAGCCACACCGCACTGAGTTCATTAGATCAAAGATACTGTTTTATCATCAAGACTAGCAAGCGCTCTCCCGCGTGCTTGAGCAAAGTGCCCGGGGCTGCACTGAGGTCTTTGGTGACCTCTGACCCCTCCTGTCCGTTCCCTCACAGCATGCAGCACCCTTCCAGGCACAGCACCGCTCCCATCGGACCCTCCCATTCACGGGGGTCAGCCTGCCTGCTCCACTACGCGGTGGACAGCAGAACCGTGCCCAGAATCCGGGTCTGCTGAAACCCAACCCCTCTGAGCTGGAGAGAATGGGGGAAAGAATGTGTGGAAAATCTAAGATCTTTCCAAAATAAGATCAGTCGTTAATTGTAAACTACACATGGGCCGAGGCCAGTGGTCCTCCATCTCCACTCTCTAGCAGAATTACCTACAGAACTTCTGAAACACAGAGATGCTTTGAGCGGATTTATGTGGATCTGGGACACTGAAAGGGCCTAACAGTATGACTCCCCGGGGGCAGTGAGCACACTCAGCACCCAGACCTTGCCTCCTGAACGCTACTCCCCACACTAAAAAGGGAACCAGAAGCCCTTGGAGAAACCGCAGGTTTGGGTTTGGAGAAAACAAAGTCCCGATATGGATGTGAGATGTCTTGTTCTAGAAAGCAAGGACATGATCCAGGTCAAGCAGGGCCACAGCGGAAGGACAAGAAGAGCTAGCTTGAAGGGCTCCCACCAGCCCAAACTGGAGACGATTTCAGCATCAAATTCAGGACAACAGGCATGGATTATACATGATTTGCTAAAAAAGATAATCCATGGAGATCACACAAATAACAAGGGCAGCTCTTTTACAGAAAAGACGCAGGATAATGACCAGAGCAGGGCACATTAGCATCGCCATTCTACAGCCCCCGGCAGGCAATACACAAGATCATGAACGGATCCTAAGGCATTAGTGATTATTAGGAATGTCACAAAGTACCCCCCACCAACAAATGACTAATTACAAGAG